GTCTCAGATGAATCATGTACACCGCGCAACAAGCCTGCCCCTCCTTTCCTCTTGTCCCCCCCTTCCTCTCGCAGATGATTCTTGCCTGTCGCTGCCGACGCGATAGGCTCACTGGAGAGCGGTGCGCCGAAACGGTGGCCTCGCCGAGTCCCGTCCGAGCTGGAGTGCCGCCGGGTGAAGGGAATCCGAGTGAAGATCCTCTGGTGGGAGGGGTCCAGGCCTACGGGCTGGAGAAGATTGGGGTCCGAAGATCGTACCGCATCTCCGGGCGGTGCGACCTGCGGGCCCCACTTGCTACAGTCCCATGGGAGGCTTCCAGGGGGAGAGCCGAGCCACTGAGTGCCTCCCCTGGGGAACCTTCACGGCCCAGGTTTGCTATTACCCCCCCCTTGGCGTGTCAGCCAGCCCGGGACCCCAAACGAGCATAGCGACGACGGTAATTGGGGAGATGCCCGACTCGGCCCGTCACGTCACTGGAAGCCCCACTGCAAGCCCCTCAAGCGGGGATGTGCAGAACGCAAGGTCTGCAAACAGCTCGTGAAAAAGTCCATGCGCGGTGAGCGGGTCCAATGCTTGGGTTAGATCCGTGAGAGCCTCGGATATTTTCCTCAGTCGCTGGTCTTTTCATCCCCGTTCTGACCTTCGCACGGGAAGTGGGGCGTGAGGAGGATCATTCAGAGCGTGGCTTGCCTTCGAGTGGAGGAGCATCAGCTGGCTCCCTTTGTTTTCTGAGGCACGCCATGCGAGTGTGCCGTCAGCCTACCTCCCCGCGCTTGCGCCTCAGCAGGAGACGCGGAAGGAAAAACGCGAAGTGGAGCCTACACCCGAGGAGCCTGCGCGGTGGGCTTGTGCCCACGCAAGTTACGGGAGTTAGTAACGTGCATGCGCAGACGTAGTGTGCTGTAATGTTGATTTGGATGTGTAATGGATGAGTGACATGTCAACGCTGATGTAATATGGTCTGGCGTACCGCATGACAACCTTCCGGAAAGGTGCGCTGGTGAGCCCGTATACATTGAAATGCAAATCAGCGTTAAGTGTGATGCAGCGTGGTGTGGTCTCTTGTTTTATTTTTGCATATGCTGGGACCCTGGCTCTGGAGGGCCCCGGGCCGAAGACCACCAGGGGCACCCAGACTGCACTGAGTTCCCCCTCCCGCCCCTGGGGCCTCCCTGGAGGCTGCTGAGGGCTCTCTCCTTCGGCTCTGGGGGTCCTCAAATCCTCCAGTACCCTCCAAGATATCCCAAGAGGCTTACAAGGCGGCATAGGATTGCTTGATGACAGCCCAAGAAGCCCCCTCGACGTTCCAAGAAGGGCCCAAGAGGACCCCGAAGGCGTCCCCAAGAGGCAGACATCAATGATTTCCTTAACCAGTTTTTGCACGTTTTTAGCGTTCTCACTTTCTCCACCCTCCGACCGCACAAGATGGCTCAAGAGGCCTCGAAGACCGCCCCAAGACGGCCCAAGAGGCCTCCCACGAGGGCCCCAAGACGGTCCAAGCCCGCCTCATGACGGCCGAGGACGGCCCACGAGGCCCTGAGGATGCCCCAAGAGGGGCCCAGATTGGGGCTGCGGGAGTCCTCCCCCTCAAGACGGCCCACAACAACCTCCAAACATGCCCCGAAAAAGGCCCCAAGCAGGCTCCCAACACTTCCCCAAGAGAACCCCAGAGGCTCGCAAGAGGTTCCCAGATGCCCACATACAAGAGATCCCCAGATGCTCTAATGACTTCTCCAGTATCCTTCCCACACCCTAGAGCCCTAGAGCTCCTAGACGGCCCCGCAGGGCCGTCTGGACACTCTCTTGGGTGGGGAGCGGGTCAGGACAGGTGGCCGTTTGCCAGGGGGGAGGGGAGCGGGGGGTCAATCAATTATTGCACGCGCGTCTTCTTGTACGTAGTTGTGCACCCCTCGCTCTAATCCAACCGCCCATCCGCGCTTTCGGCAACGAACGCGTTGGCTCCGACACAGCTCCCTTCCATTCGGGCACGGTCCCTCTACCCGCTTAACGCTCGACTCCAAGACAGCGCGCGCGCGAAGACAGACAGACAGACAGAGAAGCCGCGCCCAGACGGCGCATTGGCAAGAGAACTGCGGCAGGTGATGGCGTAGCTAGGCACATGCAGAAATAGCTAAAATGATGGACTGCGCTGCAGGCGGCTCGGTTGCACACCATTGGCAAACTTTGTACCGAATGGGAGGCGATGCGTTGACCTGCGGGCAATCCGCGGCGAGGAGGGGAGGAAGGAGGGAGGGAGGGAGGGAGGGAGGAGGGAGGGAGGAAGGAGAGGATGAAGCAACCAACACATTTCTACTTGCACCATCTTGTGACGGCAGCATGTCATTGCACTTCGTTCCCTAAGAGCTCCTGGAGCCTGTCAAGGTTCCCCCCTGAAACTTCCAAGGCTCGGGAATGTACATAATTTCTCCATTGCAGACGTGGCCGGCCTCTCACACGAGCGCTCCCCCAAGATCTGGGGATCAGATTGTTATGGACATCA